CCTGTCTTCAAGTTTATTTGAATTTGTGAAGATGTAAGAAATTTGATTGGCTTAATTTGATTTCTTTGATGAAGAATAATAGTATGGGTAGTTTATCACTTTCGCCCTTTTGGGTGTATTTAATATTTATTATTTATATTTAAATTTCTCCTACACTTGGCTAGAATTTGAGAGTAGAAGTTTTGTGGCCAAACTTTCTCAGTCACTCTGATTTTAAAAACCGGTTAACTGGTGAACCGAACTGTACATTCAGTTCAGTTCATAACTGGTTTAATCATATAACTGATTCGATTTCAGTTAAAATTTTTACTTGAAGTGAAAAACCGGTTCGGTTTATAAACTATCCTATTCGGTTCGATTAATCGGAATTTCTCACCCCTAAGATCTATGACCATTTCACAACCAAAGATGTGGTCGTGAAACGATCATGAATTTGTGATCTATGGCAAAAAAAGGCCTTATTGGCACACGACGGGCTAGATCTTACCGGTCGTGCACCATTACGGCGATTGATGCCAACGACCGTTGGTGGTTTTGGGTGGTTGGGGGTATTTTGTTATCTTTTAAACTTTTTTGTGAATGGGGTGTTTTAGCTAATTTCTCAAATATAGATGGGCTAAGTAGTTGTTATTTGGTAGACATTTAAAGGCAATTGTATCTGAAATGGTTTTTAATTAAGAGCAAAATGGGTAGAAAAATCAGATTATCCCAGTAATGTTTTAATAACACCCGCTAACAAGATAATAAGATTACCCCTTATATTATCAATAGTAAAACACTATTTATAATAAATATTACTGTAATATTTTATTACTTGTAAACCAAACACATGAATCTCGCAAAATAAACGAAGATTACCCTCGTTATCTTATATAACCCAATCCAAAGGGCCCTAAGGGTTTATTTAATTGGGCTTCTCCAAGAATAACTTATGGACACGAGCTTATCAAAGGTAGTACTTTTAGTCTTTTACTAATAAGTTGTTGGTTGTAAATTAAAAAATTTATTTTCAGCCAGTTAATGGTTTAGTAGTATAATAATGAAAACACTTATTTTATAATAGATTATTAAAATTACCAAAAAGGATATGTAATTTGTTTCAATATAAATTACGTGTTTGTAATTGTTAAGATTGGGTTTTAATGTTCTTAACTAATTTTTTATTATATTAAAATAACGAAAGCAACATATAATTCATAATTTTTAAGTATTGAAAATCTATGTAATGAAACATACGTGGAATTANAGTCATAATTAAACGTTTTAATATTTAAAGTTAAAACGTCTAGTATATTTTGGTCATCTAAGCAGACTGTGAAATCAGGATAACAATTGAAATAAATTGGTCCATTGGACAGGCTAGATTATATCGTTCCTAATAGAGAATCTCTAAATCTTAGCCATCCACAATCTCTTAAACATGCAAAGATGGCAGTGTCTAAGCCTTCAATGCTTAGAGGTTTGATTCCTATTTGGACAAGTCCTATATGAAGATAATTATAACTCTTTTTGTATTTTTTGACCATTTCCTTAGATAATAATTGAGTGACTTGAGAAGAATTGTTTATCTTAAGAGTTTTTTCTTCTGTTTTAATAATGTATTTTGATTTGTTTAAAGGGTTAACTCTATTGAGACTTGATAATTCCTTCTTTGTAAACATCTGTTACAGAAATTTTGGGAATGTTCCATTTATCAAAATGTTTTTATAAATCTTGAGGTCTTATGACCTGTTTATCTTTTTGTGTACAAGCATGACTTGTTTCAATTATGTTGTCATTTTGATTTATACAAATCTCTTCTTGATGAACAATCTGTTCATCTCTAGTATTTGAACTGGAAGTAGACANAAAAAAAAAAAATAAATAAATAAACACTTTTTTCACTACCCAAAAAACAAATCTCAATCTCATCTCCAAAAACATTTTTTTTTTTTTTTAAAACAAAAACAAAAACAAACCAATAAAACCAAAACCATTTTCACTGTTTTTTGTTTTTCTGTTTTTCCTTGGTGCTTAGGTTGCTTTATATTTGCCTCTCACGTCCTTTCCATTCTCTCAAACACACCCTTCTTGAGAGAAGTCCCTTCCCTCTCTCTCTCTCTCTTCCTCAAAGCTCTGAGTTTTTGGAACCAAATCCAATATGGCAGAGCAGAAGAAACCTCAAGCTGCTGGTGTTTGGCCCACCATTAAACCCTTTGTCAATGGCGGCGCTTCTGGGATGCTTGCCACCTGTGTTATTCAACCCATCGACATGATTAAGGTTTGAATTTTTTTTCCAATAGTTTTGGATGAAAATATGTATGTGTTTGTGTAAAAGATGAGTTTTTTATTTGTGTAGTGTCGTAAAGTTTTGATCTTTAGGTAAGTTGGTGCTTTTGATATGTTTTTAGATCTGGGATTTGATTGGTAATTTTTGTAGGTTTGGTTGTGTGTTATGGTTGAGTTGGACTTGCGTGTTGGGGGTTTTTGTTGTTTTGTTTTTTATGAGATTTACTCGTGGGATTTGATGGGTGGCTTTTGGAGTCTGAGTGTTTGGTTCATTTCTTTGATATGGTCTAATGGCGATTTGTGTTTTGATGGGTTTTTGTTGTTTGTGTTATTGCAGGTGAGAATTCAACTGGGTCAGGGATCTGCAGCTTCTGTAACGAAGACCATGCTTAAAAATGAGGGCATTGGTGCCTTCTACAAGGTTTGGCTCTATAAAAACTTGTTAAGTTGTGTGTTTTGATCATTTGAATTGGGAATTTGTCGAGTTTACGATTCATTGTCATAAGATCTGTGGTTAAAGATGGATCTTTACTTGATTTGGTTTAGCATGGATTTGAAAGAGGACCAATGAAAAGGTTATAGGTTTACTGCATTTGAGCCTTGTGAATTGTATGAATGTGTAAAATCCATATAGAAACCCTGCACGTTGGGAAATAATTTTTATTGTTAATGTGTCAGTGTTATTGCAATCCAAAATGTGGTTATGCAGTGTCAATTGATCTTGAAGTCCATTCCTATTCTTGAAATTGTTATCTATACTATATTGTACTGGGCAGGGGCTCTCTGCAGGACTGCTGAGGCAAGCTACGTATACCACTGCCCGTCTTGGTTCATTTAGGTGAGTGTTTCTTTCCAATTGCTTAGTTCTTCTCTGATAGCGTGTGAACTACTGCACTTTGTAGCTTTTTACTGTGTTAGCGAACACCATTTATAGGATTTTTGTTTGTTTGTTTCCCCTAGGATTTTGACAAACAAAGCAATTGAAGCCAATGATGGGAAGCCTCTACCTTTGTATCAGAAGGCCTTGTGTGGTCTAACTGCTGGTGCTATTGGTGCAACTGTTGGTAGTCCAGCAGATTTGGCACTGATCCGTATGCAGGCTGATGCCACTTTGCCTGCTGCTCAACGCAGAAACTATACCAATGCTTTCCATGCCCTCTATCGTATCACTGCAGATGAGGGTGTTTTGGCACTCTGGAAAGGTGCAGGCCCGACTGTAGTGAGAGCTATGGCATTGAACATGGGCATGCTTGCCTCTTATGATCAGAGTGTTGAGTTTTTCAGGGATTCTTGCCGCTTGGGTGAAGCATCTACAGTTGTAGGTAAGATCCTTTGCAAGCATTTTGTTTATTTTGCCAAAAGTGTTTGTCTCTTGCTTGGTGGAGTTCTGGTGCAGTGTAGTTTGTTTAGTTAAAGGACACTTATATCATTAACCTTATATGAACCACCTTAAGTATTGGTAATAGTCTTGATCTTATTGTTTAGCGAGATGTTCATAGTTTCATATCTGAACTTTTTAATATTCAAATCTTCAATGATTGGTGTGAACCATCTACTCTATAGTTTGGTCAATAATTTTAAACTTGTGAGCACGCTTGCAATTGGAAAATAAACCACTCTTCTGATGTGATACTTTGTTTTTCCTTTTTTTAGTTGTGGAATGTTGGTTAAGCTAATCTCGTTTTTTTTTTTCTTTTCAGCGGCAAGTTCCGTTTCAGGTTTCTTTGCTGCGGCTTGCAGTTTACCCTTTGATTATGTCAAAACCCAAATCCAGAAAATGCAACCTGATGCTCAGGGGAAGTATCCATACACAGGCTCTCTGGACTGTGTCATGAAAACTCTCAAGGCCGGAGGACCATTCAAATTTTATACTGGTTTCCCCGTATATTGTGTTCGAATTGCGCCACATGTCATGGTAAATCTTTCTCATTGACTCTCGGAAATGCCTAGTAATTGGTTCTTGAGTAAAGCAAACTAAGTTATGATAGATATAAAAGTATTGCATTTTTCTGACAGCTCGATTACTGTTTATGCAGATGACATGGATATTCCTCAACCAGATCCAAAAGCTGGAAAAGTCAGTTGGGTTGTAGTTTCTTGACGCCAGATGACATCTATTCGACTCAAGTCTTAAATAAATGGACAGTTTGTTTCTATTTTTGGCGGGTTTTGGCACTTAGACACCCGTAAAAACCAAACCGTTTGTTTCGAAATTTTACAGCACAATTGATCTAGGACTTAAAGAAGTTATTGTTATTTGGACCAGAAATTTTTTGTATTACTGAAATAGGATATTTGACAACTTGAGAGAGTTACTCCTCTGAAATACTGCGAGAAAAATAAGATTTGTACTCTATAAACAGGTATTTTTTTTTGCAGAGTTCTGCAATTTGCGCCTATTGATTTTGAGATGAAATTGTTCAATTCAAGCCATGGATTGGCCATTATATATTATGTCTTGGATTCGTTCTTTATTAAGATTCTGCATTGAATTTGATGTTTCAGATTTGTTCTTGAACAGGATTTAGCAATGGCTTTATTGATAATTGATATATTTTCTTAATGAAATTTTATTTTTACCCTTCTGGGTCCTTAATGGGATCTTGATGTGCAAAATTGAAACACAATGGGTCTGACAAAATTCAGAAAGATTCAGAATAGGTTTTAAATAAATTTTATAACTTGCTGATAAATTACAAAAGCACAGCATTCTTTTAAGAGAAAATATTGAAAATTTACCATAAAATTAGTAAGCATCTTCAAAAATGACATTTCTGAAATGTAACATACAAGGTAAGGTAAATAACTGGCTCATGCTACCATAAACAGCACAGCATTTATTGATGACAATAAACAATGTAAAACTTTATCCTTTCCTGCAAAAATTTGTATTTGTTTCCTTGGACCCCAATGTCCAAAGTAATAATGGAATATCTTACAATAATAAGCTTATCGAGTCAGTCATTACCAATAATGCAGAAACATTTCATGCAAATGACTTTCACGACATCTCCTTCAAAACACAGCCGCTTACAAGTTCTACTTCGCCCTGAGCAGGGAAGAAAAGATACAATCATTATATAAAATATCGGCAGAAGAGCAACAGTAGAATTTCATAACTGAAAAATGGAAGTTATTGGATGCAGTCGCTTTTAGAAGACAAAAACCATTAAGTGATTGGCGAACAGGAAAAATCAAGTAAAGGCATTATAGAAAGAAGCAAGAAGCAAAGGGGTGTACAGTCCGGTTCTAGAGAACGAGAGATTGCCTCTCTAAAGTTGTCAACAACAAGACCGAACTATCAGAAAAAATGTTTATACATCACAGGGAACGCAGTATCAAGTATGATGAAATGTCTTTTTGTAAGTAAAGGGCCTCCTAAAGATGTAGATAATTGCTTTTAGAAGTGAAAGGAGTATTCAGATAAAACGGCAGAGCCATAATGGCAGCCCAAGTTGCAATAAAATACTGATATGCAAAGCATTACCTGCCAATGTAGGAATCGTCCTCGGGATTGATAAAAATTTCTTCACCAATTTCAAGGTAGGACGGTACCTGGGGGAAATTATAAGATAAGGAAAATAGTGAAAAGTGTTAAAATGTTATGGAATTGATATCAACTTCACATTTAGAAGGCATTAAAGCCAGAATATCCTACAAAGTTAATTAGCTTAATTGCAAGAGAACAATCCACCTTTGTGTACATGGAAACTCAACAAAATAAGAATCTAGAAGATGGAAAAACATAATTCATATTTCTCCACATACTTCCATTTATTGTCAATCCTATTATTGAATTGCCCTTTTTGCTACAGTCATGATGTCTGAATATTAATTACAAAACTAGATAGCTCCCCAATCAATGAAACTAATATTCAGAAGCCCTCATTTGGAACACTTCATAAAATGTAATAGCTTCAATCTCTGATCGGTTTGAAATTTAGCATGCTAGAAAAGTATATAATGAACATTGGATGGGAAAGGGAGCTTGGCAGATATTTTCCTACCAAAGACTACCAAGAGGGTAAGGTTAAACAAATTAACATGCTCTTCCTCTTTGTACAAAAATTGTCATTAAGTGGGTATCCCTGTGCAGTTTTTCACCAAGAAACGAACCAAACCCACACATGTATATACACAAGCAAATGCACAAAAGAATAGCATCTTTGCCAGATAAAATCTATACAACAAACAGAAATTACATTTTACACTTACCAGTACAGTGACACCATTGTCCAGCACAGCCCTTTGATACCTGCATTGGAACAAAAAGTTTTAAGGGAAAAAATTATAAGGTTGCAAGCAAAAGCACACAAATGATATAAATGGGTCCTAAGCTTTTAAGCTAGGAGTCTTGTGGTATGTTTGAAGTTAGGAAACAAGCCTGTATTTTTGAAGGCTCATATTAGGGTCTTACTGGGTACATGCTTGGACCTAAGAACATCTAAAAGTACTAAAGGATAAGTCATGAATTCATCACAAAGCCAGAATAATATATTTTCTTGATGGTCAATATCTCTGAGCAAACCATAGACATATAACTATGGTCATTGTATTATTACTGTCGCCCAGTATATATAAACAGCATCTTAACGCAAATCCTTAAGCACATCAAGATATGTAAAAGTATTTCTCATAGTTGTTAGAACATACCGAGGTGTGACTGTAGGCCCCTTTGTAGAAACATGAATTTCTTTAATGGTGCATGTAACACGTTTTGGCATCCTTGCAGACAAAGGTCTTCCATCAAATAACTCTAGTGAAACTTTCATTCCCTCTACATGCAATGAAAAATAATAATTAAATACACAGAATGGCACTGCTGCATCTGCGTGTTCTCATCTAAATGATGTCTAACAATAGCAAAAGAGAGTATCAACCGCTGGCAAAAAGTACCAAACAAATAATTGAAAACAGAAGGCATGATGAGAAGTCTTATTATAGAATTACAGCTAGCAGAACATATGTCAAAATGTGTAATTAACTTTAAATCGAATAATTGGGAGGGCATAGTAGGCTTTTGATTGTCTTCAGATATGGACATTCCCAGTACCATCTAATATCAATCTTTCTGTTCACGCAGGCTAGTCATTTCTCAGTGGACTGCTTGTTTAATTTTACCAATCTCCCTTAATATAAATGTCTTGGTTTCTAATCAAAAAGTTTCAACAGCAATTAACTGTCACTTGTTACTAGAGAAATCAAGTTTCCTGGGAGATTTAACATGTACTTAGATGGAAAAGCTCCAAAACATGTGTGAATTTAATTCAGGCAGAAAAAAGAAAAGGAAATGCATAGAACATTTTCAGAGTGGCGTACTGCAAAAACTTCATGCCATTTCCACATAAATGAAACTGAAGGTTGTTCTAATCAATTATTTAAACCCAGCATCAGTGGCAAACAACGCACTTCAGGCTGAACATGTCAAATTTGATCATGCTGTGGTCCCAGGGTGTGTGGGAATAATTCCACTTAAAGTAGTTCGGAAATAATAGACAGAGAATCACCAGTTTAGAATGTTGAAGGCAGGAGAAGTATTGTGCATGGCAATAATGATGGCAGTCAGTTGCTGATCTATGGTGGGGTATTGGTGGTACTCGTAGCACTAGCAACATAAGTTGACCGATAAACCATTGATTAACTTGGAGAATTTTTTCTTAAAGTTACTTTTATAACCATTAATTGCTTACAGGAATTTTTCACTTGAGGTCACAGTGGAGACAACATAAAAGAGAGAATGACGCTGAATCTTATTTATGTCAACCTTTCAGGTATGCTGAAGCCTTTCCAAACAAGTCCAAAGCTACTTCCAGTTGCTCAAATGTCTCAGAACTATAAACATTCAAAAAGTACAAAAAACACATAAACAATAGAACACATTAACTAAACAATCTGTCAAAAGGTTTGGGTGAAATGAAAACTCACTCGATTAGAAATGCAATATCACTTTCAGTGTATAAACATGTGAAAGGCTTTTCCTGAACAAATACCCCTGTGGCAAATAATACGGAATTAATCTATCTATAAAAATTCAAAAGTTCTTCTGCAAGAATCTAAATTGTTTATAATTTGCAGAAATAATTGAAATTGTTAATTACATCCATTACATCCAGTAAGAATGGCATTCAAAATTTTTTTATGAACCTAGCATAGAATAGCTAGGTAGGTCACAGATTCAAACGGACCAACCAAGTTACAATGATAAAAAGTGGGTTTAAATATAAAGCTACTAAAACACCATTTGGATAAACTGAAGATAGAATATTAAGTTACAATGAAAAGCTAAATCTTTTTTGACAGAAGTAGATTACCCTACCACCATAGGGACCAACAAACCTAACCAAATAAACAATCAGAGAGGAAAAATCAATATAGACTTCACTCAGCAAACTGGGAAAAGATTAAAAAGTTAAGATGCATACTTTCAACAGCCTCCTCTGTACCAAACCGTAAGCTTATTTTGTTTCCAGTATCTACATCACGAAGCTCCATCTATGATAGAGAGTATGTGGCATGTTAAATTTCCAACAAAAAAATTATAAGATCAAAAGAAGGAAGTTGCTGTATCATAGCAAAATAAAATCATCACACTAACTAAGCACAGAAGTCCAATCATTAAAATCAGGATACAGGCAACCACAGTGAAGAATGGTAAACCACAAATATACTACCCACTAAATTAATGAGTAAGACAATAATAATTTCATTGTATAAGAGAGACAATAAGATATTTTAAAGTAAAATTGCACATTTTTGTGATTCATAACCTTAACGGAACCAAAAAAAGAAAAGCATTATCCAATATCTACAGTCCCGGCAGTGCGGGCAGTCAGCTTTGATCCATAAGGGCAGTTTAACATCCTTAGAAATTCATTTGGGTAGTTAATTTCTAAGTTATATAACAATTAGAATTCATATTTTTTTATAAGTCTAATGTTCAATATTAAAAGAGAAGTTCCACATTACAAAAAATCAATCCTAATAATGTTAGACCCACTGTTTCCATAGTACGGCTCTTAATATGATCTGTCAACTGTTAAGTTTTCTAACGAGTATCCCACTGATTTGGACAAAAATGGGTTCAGAAATAACCTGCATCATGGCTCCTCCTCTTCCTCGCTGCTTATGTTGTGCTTCTATGACCTAAACCAAATTCTCAAAGCATCAATTACATTACATCATAGCCTTTCACAAGCCTGACTGTAGAAAAAGATAACATTAAAGCACAAAATGCATATACCTGGTAAAACTTCCCTGAAGTGAGTATCATCCACCACAATTATGAACACAAGATAACTTCGTTAGTTCATAATATATATGACCACGAAAGAGATTAAAACTCATTAACAATTAGTCTTTGTACAACTAAAAAGGGTTTTCATATTTTGCAGTAGTTAAATGAAAAAGATAAGAAGTTTGTTCTAATAAAAAAAGCCACTTAAAGAGTAAGCTTGGAGAAGCACTTAGACAAGTGATTTTCTACAAAACGTTTTCTCACGCAAGAAACATGCTAATGGTTTGTTTGGGAGAGCCCTTGACACCAATATACGCACTTATGTATCAATTTTATAACTACAGACCCAAGTGTTTCATGTGATCAAAAAATAAACTTGAAGAGCTATTACAGTCACAGGTGCTTTTCTAGAAAGAGCTTTTAAATACTCGTAGAAAGCACTTTCATTCGAAATTACTTAAAAGTTAAAATCACTTTCCACAACAAAATTCCTAAATTCCATTTCCCCAAAATGCTAGCTGATTTTTTTCTTCATCAAAAAATTATTTAAAAAAACTTTCATACGCATTTAAAAAAAAAAAAAAAAATAAAAACATTTTTGAAAACCGCTCACTTAAACGCAAGAATTACCTGTTTTTTCAATGACATTCCCAGGCCTCACCTGCACCAAATATTTGGATCAATTAATTAATTCATACTCAACAATTTCACAATTGATTTTCAATAAAATATCCAAAATAAACAAAATTGATTATCACTTACATGAGAAGCGTTGACTTTGACGCCACGATGTTGACTGACGGACCACGGGGAGCGTAGTAGACACGTGCCACCATTACTGTCGGCAGTGCTCCGATGACAGTCGGGTGACGGTAACAAGCTCGGTAACGAGCGCCAATAAGAAGGATTGAAAGTGAAGAGAGCGCGAGAGAGTCTCTTACTCGCTTCGAGAGCTCGCATTTTCTATTTTGTTTTTGTTTCTGTACGGTCGAATTATGGTTTATGTAGGGGAGAGCAGAGGTTGAAGATAGATTAGAACGGCGTCGTACACCTGGATGGCAATTAGGCTTGACCCGCGGACTCGGATTCGGGTATCGGTCGATGGAATTAACGAACGGGTGTGAGGTGATTAGGAAATTAATTAGGGTGGGCTTAGAATGTTTCATCCCAATCGTACCATTTTTTCATAATGGACAATTATAACCTCTTCGATTTTAGGCCATTAAAATCTCTATTTTCCCCCTTCGATTTCCATTGTTGTATACGACTAAGATAATGTAATGCATGTCTTGGATTTGCTGCATCACAATGTTTGATGTTTATTTATTTCTAATGGAGTAATGTTATATGCACTAGTTAAATTATGCTAATCCAAATATTAATAATTGAAATTAATTTTTTTTTTTTCAGTTTTTGAGAGGAACTGACGTGGCAATAAGAGAGATTTGTCACGTCAATTAGTACTTGGATTGTATGATTTTTGGTTAGTGCACATAGTATTATTAGGCGTATAATATGTTATTGACTTCATTTCAACTTTATAGTTTTTGTGATTATGTTGTTTAGGCCTTCAAAATATCTATTTACAGCTTTTAAATTTTAATACCACATAACAATGCCAGTATTTCAAAACATTAGTGGTGAATTGAAGTTATATTTGTGAAGACAAAAGGAGCAGAAAATAAAAAAAGATTGGAATTGAATTGGTGTAGAAAAGTAGTAGGTTTGTTGTTTGTGGATGATGGTGGTTTCAAAATGCATAGTATGTGATTTTTTTATGATTTTTCAAGGTTTTAATCTTCCAAAAATCATTAAAAAAAATTCACCTCGTGCGAATTGCTTCCTTTTTCTTGTGTTTGGTTCCTTGCATTTTTCTCCACCACCATGAAAAAAAACAGATAAAAAGGAAAACCTTCGAAAAGATCGTCCCTTGATGTGCCGCACACTACTGTCGTGCACCAAAGGAAGGTTTTTGTTGCACACCAAGGGCGTGCACACCAATTGTACACACCACAATTTAAACGGGGATTTTAGGAGCACGATAAAAAAAACACCGACCCAAAATGCACAGTATGTGATTTTTTTACGATTTTCCAATGTTTTAATATTCAAAAAATCATTAAAAAAAATCCGCTAGTGCGAATTGCTTCCTTTTATTTGCGTCTGGTTCTTTGCATTTTTCTCCACCACCATGAAAAAAAACAAATCAAAAGGACAACTTTAAAAAGATCGTCTATTGGTGTGTCACACGCCCTTGCTGTGCACCAAAGGAAGGTTTTTGTTGCACACCAACTGTATACACCACAATTCAAATGGAGATTTTACGAGCACAACAAAACAAGTGCTGACCAAAAATGCATAGTATGTGATTTTTTACGATTTTCCAAAGTTTTAATCTGCAAAAAATCATTAAAAAAAATCTGCTCATGTGAATTGCTTCCTTTTTCTTGCATTTGGTTCCTTGCATTTTTCTCCACCACAAAAAAAAAAAAAAAAAAAAAAAATAGATCAAGAGGAAAACCTCTGAAAAGATAGTCCCTTGGTGTGCCGTACGCCCCTGCCGTGCATCAAATGAAGGTTTTTGTCACACACAAAGGGCGTGCACACCAACTGTACACATCACAATTCAAATGGAGATTTTAGGAGCACAACAAAACACGACCCAAAATGCATACTATGTGAATTTGTACGATTTTTCAAATTTTTAATCTTAAAAAAATCATTAAAAAAAATCCGCTTGTGTGAATTGCTTAATTCTTTTTGCGTTTGGTTCCTTGCATTTTTCTCCACCACCATGAAAAAAATCAAATCAAAAGGACAACCTCCGAAAAGATCGTCCCTCGGTGTGCTGCACGCCCCTGCCATGCAGCAAAGGAAGGTTTTTGCTGCACACCAAGGGCGTGCACAACAACTGCACACACCAAAATTCAAACAGGATTTTAGGTGCAGAACAAAACAAACCCCGACCCAAAATGCACAGTATGTTATTTTTTACGATTTTCCAAAGTTTTAATATTCAAAAAATCATTTAAAAAAATCCGCTCATGCGAATTGCTTCATTCTTTTTGCGTTTTGTTCCTTGTATTCTTCTCCCCCACCAGGGAAAAATTCAGATCAAAAGAAAGACCTCCGAAAAGATCATCCTTTGGTGTGCCGCACGCCCCTACGGTGCACCAAAGGAAGGTGTTTGCTATACAGCATGGGCGTGCACACCAACTGTACATACCAAAATTCAAATGGGGATTTAAGGAGCACAACCAAACAAACCTAGACCCAAAATGCACAGTATGTGATTTTTTACGATTTTCCAAAGTTTTGATCTTCAAAAAATCATCAAAAAAAATCCGTTAGAGCGAATTTCTTCCTTCTTTCTGCATTTGGTTCCTTGCATTTTTCTCCACCACATGAAAAAAAAGAGATCAAAAGGGCAACCTCCGAAAAGATCGTCCTTTGATGTGCTGCACGCCCCTACCGTGCAACAAAGGAAGGTTTTTGCTGCACACCAAGGGCCCAACGGTACACACTGCAATTCAAGTAGGGATTTCAGGAGTTCAAAAAAGCAAACCCCGACCCAAAATGCATAGCATGTGATTTTTTTTACGATTTTCCAAAGTTTTAATTTTTAAAAAATCATTAAAAAAAATCTGCTAGTGCGAATTGTTTCCTTCTTTTTGCGTTTGGTTCTTTGCATTTGTCTCCACCACCATGAAAAAAAAAGGATAAAAAAAACAACCTCCGAAAAGATTGTCCCTTGGTGTGCCGCACGCCCCTGCCGTGCACCAGAGGAATGTTTTTGCTACACACCAAGGGCGTCCACACATACTGTATATACCACAATTCAAATGGGGATTTTAGGAGCACAAAAAAACAAACCCTGACCCAAAATGCATAGTATGTGATTTTTTTAAATTTTCCAAACTTTTAATTTTCAAAAAATCCTTAAAAAGAATTTGCTCGTGTGAATTGCTTCTTTCTTTTTTCGTTTGGTTCCTTGCATTTTTCTCCACCACAATGAAAAAAAAAAAGATAAAAAAGGCAACCTTCGAAAAGATCATCCCTCGGTGTGCCGCACGCCCCTGCCGTGCACCAAAGGCAGGTATTTGCTGCACACTAACTGTACACACCATAATTCAAATAGGAATTTTAGGAGCACAACAAAATAAACCCCGACCCAAAATGAATACTATGTGATTTTTTACGATTTTTCAATTTTTTAATCTTCAAAAAATCATTAAAAAAAATCCGCTTGTGCGAATTGCTTCCTTGTTTTTGCGTTTGGTTCCTTGCATTTTTCTCCACCACCATGAAAAAAGAAGATGAAAAGAACAACCTTTGAAAAGTTCGTCCCTTGGTGTGCTGCACGCCCTTGCCATGCACCAAAGGAAGGTTTTTGCTGCATATCAAGGGTCTGCACACCAACTGTACACACCACAATTCAAATGGAGATTTTAGGAGCACAACAAAACAAACCCCGACCTAAAATGCATAGTATGTGATTTATTATGATTTTCCAAATTTTCATATTCAAAAAATCATTTTAAAAAAAAAAAGGTTGTGCGAATTGCTTCCTTCTTTTTGCGTTTGGTTCCTTGCATTTTTCTCTCCCACCATGAAAAAAAAGAGATCAAAAGGTCAACCTCCGAAAAAATCGTCCCTTGATGTGCCACACGCCCCTGCCATGCACCAAAAGAAGGTTTTTGTTGCACACCAACTGTACACACCACAATTTAAATGAGGATTTTAGGAACACAACCATATAAACCCCGACTTAAAATGCATAGTATGTGATTTTTTACGATTTTTCAAAGTTTAAGTATTCCTAAAATCATTAAAAAAAATCCGCTTGTGCGAATTGCTTCATTCTTTTTTGCGTTTCATTCCTTGCAATTTGCTCCACCACCATGAAAACAAAAAAATATATCAAAAGGACAACCTTCGAAAAGATCGTCTCTTGGAGTGCCACACACCGCTGCCATGCACCAAAGGAAAGTTTTTACAAATTGAGATTTTAGAAGCACAACAAAACAAACCCCGACCCAAAATGCATAATATGTGATTTTTAAAAAATTTCCAATGTTTTAATTTTCAAAAAATTATTAAAAAAAACCCGTTCATGCGAATTGCATCATTCTTTTTGCGATTGGTTCCTCGAATTTTTCTCCACCACCATTAAAAAAATCAAATCAAAAGGACAACCTCCGAAATGATCGTCCTTTGGTGTGTTGCACGCCCCTGTCGTGCACCAAAAGAAGGTTTTTGTTGCACACCAAGGGCATGCACACCAACTGTACACACTACAATTTTGAAATGGGGATTTGACGAGCACATCAAAAACAAACCCCGACCCAAAGTGCATAGTATGTGATTTTTTATGATTTTCAAAAGTTTTAATATTAAAAAAAATCATTAAAAAAATCCATTCATGCAAATTGTTTCCTTCTTTTTGCGTTTGGTTCCTTGCATTTTTCTTCACCACCATGAAAAAAATCAGATCAAAAGGACAGCATCCGAAAAGATCGTCCCTCGGTGTGCCGCACGCCCCTACCGTGCAGTAAAGGAAGGTTTTTGCTGCACACCAAAGGCGTGCAACCAACTGTACACACCACAATTCAAATGGAGATTTTAGGAGCACAACAAAACAAACCCCGACCCAAATTGAAAAGTATTTGATTTTTTACGATTTTTCAATTTTTTAATCTTCAAAAAATCATTAAAAAAAATCCGCTTGTGCGAATTGCTTCATTGTTTTTGCGTTTTTTTCCTTGCATTTTTCTCCACACCATAAAAAAAATTATATCAAAAGGACAACCTCCGAAAAGGAAGGTTTTTGTTGCACACCAAAGGTGTGCGCACAACCTATACACACCACCATTTAAATCGAGATTTTAGGAGCACAAAAAAACAGACCCCGACGCGAAATGCATAGTATATGATTTTTTTTACAATTTTCCAACATTTTA